CATTTTACCACGCATAAGCAAAGCCAGCAGAATTTGACAGTAGAAACTATAAACCTGAACAACAACAACAAAAAACCAAAAACAAAAAACAACTAACCAAACAAAAAAACACCACCAACAACATGTGTTTCCTCAAGACTCAGTTAAAAAAGCTATTCAAAAGCTATTCCAGATATTCATACAGCACTGCTTTCTAACAGCTTCTGCGAGTAAGATCTTTTTATCCACCATATCTTGTACACCTCACAGCTACGTGTCCTTGTGTTTCCTTCTTAGAAGACCTCATTTAGCAAGTTAGTGTTTCCTTCAGCAAGCCAGCCCTTTCAAGCAGAAGTAGGTATACCATTAATCACTTCGCAGCTTCAGCAAACTTAAGTTGGCTGATTAAGCAGAAAGTGTATTTAGAACTCAAGAGGTTCACTTCACTAACAGATTACAGCATGAATCCCCTGGCTTCCTCTCAGTACCAGTGCATGTTGGAGTGGGAAGTGCCCCTTCTCCTTCCCTTCTCCTGCAACACCTGCTTATCTATTGGACAAGGACCGACACCCACTGAATTCACTGCTAAATTTGCCACAGCTAAGGTTAAACAAAAGGTCATTTGTTATTTTGGCTACTCATCCACTGGTGTATGTACAGTTAATATTTAAATTCCACAAAAATACATATTCAAGAGGCTTGTGAAAAATGAGGCAGTTTTCATCCCCGTGATGGCAGGGATCTCAAATGAGTTGTGCTGTCAATGGGAGCACAAGAGGTTATCCAGTTTTCCATAATCTATAAAGCTTCTTCAGAATCATGTCATTAGCTTTCCTGTGGTAGCACGCAGCAGAGCTAATAATGCAATTATGGTTCATGTAGTTAAACTATGCTATTGATATTTTTTTTTCCCAGGAGGCCTTCATTTCTAGCAATTCTAATCATCTTCCTTGTACAGCTGTATGGATTCCACTTTCACTATGAGGGAAATAAAATTGCAAATAAATACTATCTTTCCTAATGTCTCTGTAAATGCCAGATTTAGTAACCATTAACCAAATGTTAGAGTCTATAAAATGTATAATTCTTTGTCTAAAAAAATATAGAAGAGACTACATTCATATCCTAGTCACCAGAAATGAACTGTTTCACTGGAGTAAGTGAGAACGGAATTTCATCCAATACTTGATTATTCTCATTTTTTGCTGTTATGATTCATTAAATTTTTCTAGTTCTTCGTATCCTAACTTTCCCCCTCTCTATTGTATTTAAAATGTAAGTATTAGAATAAATTAGTATGATTACTGTGTGAAAAAAGCACTTCTGTTCTTCAGTAAAGTGGGGAAAATATTCAGCCTGTCAATTTGAAACCTGTCTAAACAAAATGCTACTCAGATGTACCAATTGGACAAGTTGTGCATAACTTACTGCTGGCCTCTCTTGCTCTGGTTCGGTAACCAATCATAGAACCGCTGAAATCACCCAGTCCAACCGTCAGCCCAATGCCACACACCTCAGTGTGCTAAGTGAAAGGACAAACAGTTCTGAAAAGGTGAGCATCCATTTCACCTGTGCAGAATTTTTCTTATTTTGCTAACCTAAACCTTTGGGAGTTAGCTAATGTTTTCTTCTCCCTTCTTGTTTCATGTAACAGAAATCTGAAAAGAGCTTCACAGTTATCTAAAGTACATCTTTATCACTTCTGGCAACCGGAGAAAAAATGGGAAATGCTCTGATTTTCCACCAGTGAGTGAACTATGATACAAAAAGACAGAAACGTAAAACAATTTAGGGAGAAAAAGATTCAGCTCTCCATATCTATTGCTGATTTGGGCTGAAGAGTGGATTAGCATGCGTAAAAGTGTGATTTGAGCCTTAGCATGGCAGCCTTGGTGACCATCAGATGGCCCAGGTAACCCGAGCTGCAAAACACCATCTGAGAAGCTTGTAGAATTTTGTAAGTGCTGTTTTGTGAGTTTGTTGGAATAAAGTAAACAGTAAAGAAGGACTTTTAAAAATCCATGGCTTATCAGCTTTAATAGTAGGCAATAATATGAGAAATAAAAATAACTGTTATCCCACAAGAACTATTTTTTTTGGTAAGCAGGCCACTGTTATCCCTTCAATAGTCAGAGTGTAAGCAAAACAGTGAATGAAAAACCCAAAGGTTTTCAAATTTAAAATATGAGCAATAGTTTTGCTGTAGCATTGGATAAAAAACTTAAATGTTGCTACTAAACGTAGAAGAAAAATTGAATGAGGTCCTTAATTCCTTTTATTCTTTTTACATTATGAAAAGCTTTATTAAAAATAAGTTCGTCTGAAACCTATTATTCTTTCAGTATTCTAATTAATAGAGCAAGATTGTGAATTTATTAATTAAAATAAGATACCTCGGGGAAACTGAAATTAATTTTGATGTCCTAATAGAGTTACTGTTATGTCATTCAATTTTATGGGTATCTTATCCCTTTCTCTTCTTCTCTGTTCCCTCCTAAAAGTGAAAAAAAACCCACATTTGATTTAATTTGAATTTGGAATTAGAATGTTGAGTAGTGACTTTCTAAAGATGCAGTGGAGATAATCTTACGATGTGTCATTTTAATTTTACTGATAATTTTACAATAGCTGCACCCCTTGAGAGGGTGCCAGAGCTGCGCACCTAATGAACACTGAGCGTGCTCTAAAGGAGTTTGGTACAAGGTACCTTTAGGTCTTCCATGCTACCCATTTATTAACTTATTTTTGCTTAAATCACATCAGTCTGCTTAAATAAACCAACATCTTCATGGTCACATTTTCTTAACCATGTTTAATAGGATTCAAACTGAAATATTTGGGTCTGCTGTTGAGCTCAGTCTTTTCCATATATTGGGTCAATATATGGGTATGGAAGATACTTGACAAATTTCTAGTTGGTTACTGTATTTGCTGGCATCTAGGTTTGCTAACATGCTTGGATTCTGACCCACATCAACACGTGCTGGGGGTAGCATTAAAATTTCTAATACACATTTTTCAATGCAGAGTGTAATACTATGTAAAAATCTGCAGGTTGGAGCTTACTGCACAGTCACATTTGATTCTTGCACTCACGCAGTGTTTCTTCTTGTGCTAAAGGGTAATCTAAGAAAGATGGAAGGCCACATAATTTCCTATAAAAATGGAAAATAGCTATGTAAAGCATTAAAGCTGGTGACAATAGATATTTTAGGGAAAGGAAACTTAAAATTTAAATTGGCATTAGTTATTCCTTTTCCTAGCAGTCAGGAAGCTCTGGAATTGCTGGCAGTGCAGACTGAACTGATGTGAATAGGCAAGAACCCTGCAGTCTGCTCTTGGATGGCACAGCATGCCTTGACCTCCAGAAACAAACAGCTTTCTCTCATACTCTAAACCTTGCTGCTGTCTCCTGTTTTTCTCCCAGCACTTTGGCCTGGTGGTCACAGCCCATGAATGTGTTGCAGGTGTCCAGCACCATCACCCAGAAGAAGGGAACATACTCTGTTCCTATTATTCAGTCTCCCTGCAGTAGAACAAATGTAGGCAGTGATCCCAATGTCTTCAGTGGGGGGCGATAAGGCTGAGCTCAGTGTCTTGGCAGAAATTGGGTGTTGCCATTCAGCTTGTGGAATTCCTTAAAAGTCAGCTAGAATTAGTTGTATGTGATTAGTTGTCTGTATGTCCCTCCCTTGCTTGTAGTTTTTCCCTATGTGTTTTTAAATAGCACCAAAGGATGGCTGCATTTGTGGATAAATACGATTAAGATTTCTGTTCCTGCAGTCCTCAGTGAGGCTGCCTTTAATCACAGCTGGAGCAGATTTAGACCAACATGTGGGTGCTTAATAAAAAAAAATAAACTGAGATTAAATAACACAATTTTAATTGTAAAGACTTATCTCAATGCAGGATTCGTTTTCAGATCCTGCAGAAATCAATTGATACAATCTACTGGAATGATTGTTTCAGTCTAAAACAATAAGGTAAGAAGGGGGCATTGTGAAAGATACGGAAATTTGTGAAAGCAATGAAAAAAAAACCAACCAAACACAGAAAATATACTTCAAGCCAAGTTTTATGTCTTCCTATTACCCACTTACTGCAATTTTGTGAATAATGCCAGGAAATGAGTTCTTTGGGGCAGAAACACTCCAGAGAAATGTTAATTTCATGAGCAGCGGAACACTGAAGCTTGACTCCTGCTCACATCTGGACCTGTCCCTGCTACCATGGTGCTCCTGGAAAGAGCCCACACATGTGCCTCAGCTCTGCTCTCCTTTCCACTGCCCACCGTCCAGGTCAGGGATCCCGCTGCAGGCACAGTGTGTTGGTGGGGACAGGCTTGAGCATTGTTTGGAGCTCTCAGAAAATGCTCTGTGAATATTTGAAACCTTTTTCTTCAGTATATATCTCTTAGCATGTGGGGTTTTTTTTTGTATTGGGCACATTTCTCCAACTGCCCTTCTCTTGTTTTATGCATTGACAAAAGTACTGGGATGTTTTTGGAGTGGTTTTCCGAGAGGCAAAGCAAACTATTTTCCTTGTTAAGGTTGGGTGACTGTTGTACCCAAGCTGCCTTTTGAAATTTTTCATCCACCACTTTCAAAGTTACGTTTGAAAAGTTTATGATATTTACCTGGGGCTTTTCCTCTCCCTTTCTTCTTCAGGGAGTTTGCTGGAGCTTTGTGCCTGCTCCCCAGGTTAGATCTTCTGCTCTGAAGAAGCACATCTTTGACAAGGAGAAAGAAGCAAAAACTTCTAGTCATTCCTAGTCTTTATCTCCTGTGATGGGAAACTTCTTCCCAATTTGAAAGGATTTGTTCAGTGCAGAGTTGTTTAGCAACCAAATTTCCCATGTCTGTGAATAGGGCTGCACTGCTCCGTGACTTCTCAGTGCCCAATGACAAGCTCCCAGGCAGTTTTACACAGCCAAATTTTCACATGTTCCACTGTGGGCTTTGCATTTACTAATAAACTCAATACAAATTGTGTTCCTTCTTGCACGTATTCTTTCAGAGATCCTCATCAGTATCTCCCTGAGCTGCGCCCTCCAGAGATATAAATCTGCTCGGTGTGCTTCTGTGGACTGCTCCCAAGTGTCAGGACCCACAGCAGCAGAGCAGAAATGCTCCCCAACACCTCGCCCTGCTCCTCCGTGCGCTCTGCTTAGGCTCTGCCATTTTGCAGCCATGCATCATATCTGTCTGCGGCTCACATGTGCATGATCTCCATGGCGACTTGGGCACTCGAGGTAGAAATACGAGCTGGTAAGTCAAGGTTATCCTCCCTCCTCCCTCTTTGCTCTCGGTGCAATGCGGGTAATTGCGCGTTACGTGTTGGCATGGACGATGCTCGCCCGCAGCAGGACGCAGACAGCCTGTTTTGCTTTCCATGTCTGTTTAAGCACTTCTCAGTGATCAGCAGTGAAGCCCAAGGGGTGTGGAGGGGCTGCATGGAGCTGTTCCCGGGGGTGAAGTCCTGAGGAAGGGAGACTGAGCCCCACAGGGAAGTGCAGGGAAAAAGCCCACACAGCCCATTCTGTTCCGAGCACGAGATGTGTTGTGTGGGTGCCAGCAGTGGGAAGATGCAGGTAACATCTCCTCTGTCCTTGCAGCATACCTGCAGAAATCGAAACATAAATATTGAATTATAAAGGCAGAATTTGTATAGTCGCAGAATACATACATACATTATAAAGTGGAGTTGCAGCTTTAATGCGTTCTGTTTCCCAGTGGGTACATCGAAGTTTTACCTCTTTGTATGCACAAAACACTTCTTCCTCTTTCCATTGGTGCAAACGACTTGAAATGAATAATGTTTTTCTTGTTTGCTAGCATCATCTCCCCCTGTTGTCCATCGACATAAAATGCAGTGTTCTGGAACATGAGAAAGGCAATACGTTTCCTCCAGTTCTTTGTAAGCTGATATGAAGTAGACAGACACCTTCTGAAGTTTTGTGCATGCTGTGCTCTTTTTTTCTTTGCTGCAACAAGAAAAGCCTTTTCTTTTAACCTGGCTTCCTTTGAAGAAGTAACTCAGGAAGCTTCATGGCCTCTCAAGGTAAGTGCATCTATAGTCCTTATTTTTAGATCATGTTTACAGAAAACTACAGTCTTGTACATTTCCAGCAATCAGCAGTCTGATGAAATGAGAGTTTCAGGCTAAAACCACAGCAGCCAAAGCACGGTTGTTTGGGCTTCTTTTAATTTTTCAGTATTCAAGAGGCTCCTAAGGAGACTAAAATCTATACTGGAGTGTTATTTGAATAAAGTGCATTACAAAATGTTTGCATCTACATTCAGTCAGGAAATGGTGCTTATATCTTTGTGCTTAAACCTGTCAGTATGGTCTGCATGGGAAGGGCATATTCTGATCCAAGATTCACACAGATTTCGCACTTCTTTCCTATTCCACTCTGAAAATATGAAATCAGCAAATGCTTTTCACTTTCAAAACTGACTAGAGTTTTGCAGGAAAAATAAATATCTGAAGAATAAATGAATGCAACCAGATTACTTCTTTCTAGGTTAATTTCTGTCACGTATTGTCTTTGAGCTGCAGTGCTTGGCTGTTCAGGGCTGTAGATAAACACGGGAATACGCTGCTCTCACAAGCCATCAGCATTCATTTTTTTCCATGCAGTCAAATCCAAAAGCTAAGCAGAAGGACACAACTCTGTTTTTTCTTAGCTGAATGCAACCCCACAGGGATTGCCATGGTGTGACGTACGGAGGCAGATGCTGGCCCAGGGAGCTCCAGCAAAGTAATACTTATCCCTTTATTCCCCCACCAAATACTTTCAGACATTTCAGTATTTATAGCACTAGAAGTTATGCAGCAGGAAATGGATTTTAGAGCATTGTTGTACTCTTGGAATATACGTTTTTCCCCGAAGGGAAAAGTATATGTTTTGCTTATATTTAGCCATGTAAAAGAGATCTGGTTCTGTATATTTTAATGCACGGTACTTAACAAGAGCAACAAAATAGTCATGTTCTGTAATACAGTTTTCATAACGAAGGAACTTGGTAATATGTTTCTGTTAGGAACCAGCACCTCTGCAGATTGCTCACTGCATCATGTCGTAACTTTTAAGTTCTCCCGCACTGTAAATGAAGTAGGAAGCAGCCATGAAAATAGACAAAGCCTCAAAGTAGCTTAGGTTGTCATCAATATTTAATGCATTTACTGTTTGATTTTTGTATAGCTTAAAATTTGACAGGTAGAACTGCAATTTGTTGTCTTTTTTCCTTTTTATTATCTGAGAATAACACTAACACTCGGCCACTTCGTGGCATTTCATGTAACAACAAGAGTTACGGCAGTAACAGAACCCTGTGAGGTAAAATGATGCAGAAGAGCATATAAAATATTTATCTGCCAGTTATACATTTTTAAAAGCCAGCTACAAATTCAAAGGGGTTTCTTCTTCCTCCTGTGGTCTCTGGCTTTGAAGGAAAGCAGTGGCTGCAAAGGCAAATTAAGATCAAAATATGATTAAACGATGAATCAGCCACAGTGGGTTCAAATAAAGCTAAAGGACCTCAATTAAACACACAACTGCAAAAGGCAGCTTCAGACCTAAACCCAAAATTCCTTCTGGAGCTCAGTCCGTGCTATGCCTGAGTATTGTCACATAGGAGATAAAGATGGTTTGGTGATTGTTTGCTGCCGAGGCGGAGGGGCTTGGTTAATGCGAGGACTTACCATAGATGTGCTGAGAGCTGCAGCTGGCACGTGCTGCACGAGCAGAGCCAGTGTTATTGCAGCGGTGGGAAGGTGCTGGCACTGAGACCAGCTTGCAGCAGACGGCCAAGGTGCTTGCTGCTCATCTGAGCTTAGATGCTGGTATAGGCACAGGCAGAATGTGATGCTGGTGTCCCAGTTCTAGCGGCTGCTGTTTGGCACTGCTCATTTCTTTTTTTCTTCTTCTTTTTTTTTTTTTTCCCTGCAGAATCTGAAGGACAAACAAACCCAGTCTTTAAGGACTACCTCCCTGGTTCTTCTGACCTGTCAGAGCAGGACAAGCCTGCTGAGCCTGCAGGCCCCTGGAAGCAAGCCTCGCACACGCATAACTTACCACCTGGACTGGAGTACCTGAACCAGGTCCAGAATCTTTCCCAATGCTGGAACTGTTCTGTTTCATCATGGACTCCTTTGGTAGTTGAGGGGTGGGAGTGTTTGGGTTTTTTTCTTGGGGAGGGGAAACTGGATATGGAGAGGCTTTTCTGTTGTTTGACATTTACTATAAGATAAAGAATGTACAAATTATAAGCTCTTCTTTCATTGCTGCTATTCATCTCTGCAGAAATCCATTTGCTGTGCATGCAGCTCTCCTTGCCCCCAGACATGATTTTCTTCTCTCTAGGACTTTTTCTAAGTCATATTATGACCCCTCTCATTGTCCCTCCAGTTTCCTTCCAGCTCCTTAAGGGAAACCAGTGCCAAATTCCTGGCTGACTTCAGAATTTGTTTGGTTGATTAAAACCAGCAGTGTGTGAGGGAATCACACCCCTCTCCCTGAGGAACATGGAGGTCTTTGGAGCAAATTCCTCGTGCCCACAAGGACAGTGATCTCCAGCTGAGAGGGAGAAGCAAGTTCTCAAGTTGACCAAGAGAAAGCCTGAGCAGCTGCAAACTTGCACCTCTGTTTTGGGCTGTGAGACAGAAAAGGGGCAGTGACCAAACAGTGTACTGCAGAGAAGAGGGAGCTGAGGAGTAGTTATGAGGCTGTGATTCTGATGCATGACTTGAGGGCTGTATTTAAAATATGCTTTTCTGTAGTTTTGTATAGAGGCAGAAATTGAATGCATTTTCTATTTGGAACATAAGACAGTTAACAAAAGTGGGAGACCTTTCAGAAACCATCTTTCATGTGGAGTTATGATTTTCATTTCATGGAGCCTGTGCACAAAATGATATGTGTTGTCAATTACAGGAGCATTTGTTCACAGACTGTGGAGCTACATTTTTTAGTTGAAAAGTGATTGTGATAGTCAATACTTGGCAGGTAACACATTCAGCTTTCTGCATGAACACGAATTACACCTTACCTTTATCTGTACAACGTGGGTAAGCAAATTCTATTACTCCATTTTATGAAAGGATTACATCTGACATAAAGTCTTCATTCTCAGCTCAATAACCATGTCTCTGTGCTGCAGCCCTTACTAATTACTCTCAGTTCACTCCTGAGATGACTCCTGGTCCTTGTGTGTTTGGGTCCCTGTGAGACTGCATTTGTGAAGGTAGGGCATCAGCCTGGCCCTCAGTGTCCCCTTTTCTGGCCAGAGGAAGTCCTGGAAACCCACGGTCTGCACCAGAACTTGCAGGCAGAACCTCTCATATAAATGGTGGAAAGTATTTCTAGCTGAACTGGGGATTTTTGATGGAGCATACCATGTTTGCTTCTGGTTTTGTGCGCATTATGGATGTGGGTTCCCAATTGGAGCAGGCACAGAGAAGTGCCATCTAAAGGGCACAGGGAATAGAGAACTTGCTTTAAAACAGGACTGCAATTTTTTCATTTTTATCTAAAAATAAAATTCTATCAGAGAAGGAACTCTGACAGCTGTCATCCCTGGAAGAGAAAACAACCTGTGGGGAAAAAAAAAAAAAAAAAAAAAGGCATTATTTTAAAGAATGATTTCAACAGAAGAAGGGTTATATAGAAAGTGGCTGTGAATAAATAGAAGATAGCAAATAGAAATGAGGTTCTGGGATTATCTCCAGCAGGAGCAGGGAAGATAGCTGGATAGATTTATTTGAGAAAGTTGAATATATTTCTTAATAAGGCCATAACATACTTGCCTCTGAAAGCAGGATCCAGCCCCAGTGAATCTCATAGAGATCCCCACAGTCTTATGCTAAACAGGAACTCTAGGGCACAGCGTGTAGCACTGGGTGAGAGGAACAGAAAACATCTGTCACTATGCAAATGCACACTGAAGTCAGTCGGGATGAGGAGCGATGGGTTTGGCTCTTTGAGGTGCTTCAGAGCCTGGCGATAAACTGCCTCTGCCCTGCTGAATTTGCTTTCTATAATCATCACAAAAGTGACGCTCTAAATAATTTACTACAAAACAGGTTACCCGAAAAAATGTGATTAACTTCCAGATTGAAGCTGTAGTTTGGGAATTGTGTGGGATCCACCTCAAAAGTGATGGATCACCCTTTGCCCAGAGAAGGAATAGATAGAAGAGACCTGAGAATTTTCCAAGCAGCTCAACCTTGTGTTGTGCAATAATTCAGGCTTTACCAGTTTTGTAAGAAGCTTCTTAGTTTAGACTTGGTCAGACTGATGTTTTGTAAATTTAATGCCCACAAAACTAAATGCTAAGAGTTAGCTTTGCATAAGGAATTTTAGCACATTAGAGCTCAAGAGTACTGAGACCTATGTAAAGCAAAGGGCTTTCCATGCTTTCAAATGCAAACGCAGAATTTCCTTAATCCACGAGTGCCTCAGTGAAAGATGCATCAGAATGGTTGCCTTGCAGAAACAAGGCAAAACAAACAAGTCAAACAAATGGTGCTGCCTGTTGGCTAAACATTGCCTATGCTTTGTTCACAACAAATTGGTATGCAGCGCAAAATCACTAAAGTTTTTAGCAGTTCAAGCTCATTATTTTTCTTTCCTCCGTGAAAGCCTGTGTGGGGGAAAGAAATCCATATTAAAATCAATACTAAAATATTAAAATAGCTCTGCCATCTTTAACCTGTTTATTCATTTTTCATCAGCAGAGCTCTGCACTAACTTCCCATGAGCTCCAAGGCTTCTCATATCTCATGAAATCTAAATGACAAACAGCAAAGCTTCTTGGGAGAAGATTTTTAAGTCCAAATATTTTTTATTATTTCAATTACTGGCATGCACATTTTAGAGATTAATGAAAGGGATCTGGAAGTTTATTTATTACCAGCTTTTCTTTGCTGTCTGAACTAGCTGCAGGAGATGACTGGAACTGATAAATTGCTACAACAGTTTGAATGTGTACAAGACAATATTTATCAATTGTGAAATATACATATGCTGGAGAGCTGTGACGTGCAGGTCTCAGATGTCTGTCATGAGCTTTCTGTCTTCAGCTGTGAGTAATGGCAAAATTCAGCATCAGGCGTCTGATGCCCATCTGGAATTTAAGGAGAAGAAACCAGCAAAGCCTAAAATGTCACATAGAACATGCATTAAAAAGTCACATAACGTTGGGAGGTAGGCTGAAATTAAGGTTTTGCAATACTAATTATTATTTTCTAAAGCAGAGCATGTCGGAGGGACAGTAAGCACAGAAAAGTGGCAGTTTGTAACCAAATGACAGGTGAGGATGGTTTCAAGCAGAGGGTTTCTTTGGGGAACTCTGGAAGGAATGGAATGCAAAGAGACAGGTGATCACCAGCAGCCCCAGACCTTCTAACACCCACTAGCTTATATTTTTGTTCTTTCTTTTTGAAACAGCTTGACCGGATCATTATTCATCAGCAGGTGGAGCTCCTTGAAGGTATGCTGTTAATAACTCTTGTGCTCCAACTACTGCTGTCTCTAAAGGGCTTCCAAGCCCAGCTTCATGCTGACCTTCCATTAGGCTTCCAGCATGGTGTTAGTGTGGTGAGATGAAGAGAAGAAAGTTACAGTGCCCAAGCCCTAAAATCCTTCCCTCAAAGTTACTAGAGATTCAATTTTTTCCATGGATTGGAAAGATGGTTATTGTCTTAAACAATGATGAATGTGCTACGAGTGAATAAAGTAAGGAAGATCAGAAAGCATTACATACAGCATAATAGTTTGATTTACATGGTTCTGCAAAATTTCATGTTCAACAATTAAAACACCTTAAAATGTATTCCTCAGTTGTATTTCTCCTATTCGAGAAGTTTTGGCCTGATTCTTGGGCACCTCTCTGAGTGAAAGTTGTGTCATTGAAGTGGGATAACCTTGTATTTTTCACAGTGTACAGACTAAGAAAAGCCAAAACCAAAACTCAGTGTATGAATTCTGTTTTGTGATACGTACTGCAGTTTACAGCAGATTAAAGTCTTTGATCTAAATGTTCTTTCAAAATAAAACTTGACATGATTATTTCGTTATTATCATACATTTTCTTTATGTCACCATTTAAAAACAATTTTTAAACAGTCTCTGTTCATAGTTTTTTAGAGTAAATACCACAGAGAAGATTGGAGCTGTAAATATGTATGCAGAGCAGAATTCGGTGAGTCTTGGCAGAGGCTCTTTGTAATCTAACCTTATGCTAAGGTAACATCCAACTTGTTTGGCTTTTTTAGCCATACTTGGCACAGAGACCTGCAGCAAATATGAGATTAAAAACCATTTGGGACAAAGAGTTTACTTTGCAGTGGAAGAAAATGGTTGCTTCAATCGTAACTTGTGTTCACCTATAAGGTCTTTCACCATAAGGATTGCTGATAACTCTGGCCGAGAGGTGATTACAGTGAATAGACCCTTGAGATGCAACAGCTGCTGGTTCCCTTGCTTCCTGCAAGAGGTGAGTGTTGCCTAATTGCCTTTTATTCCAGCATCTCACCGCATGTGCTCTGCATTAATTAAGCCTTGCATGACCTCAGTGAGGATGGCAGGAAGGAATTCCCAGCCGTGACCTAGCCTGGGCTGCATGGAGGCAGCTTCTTTTTTTGCTTCTGCACTTGCTGATGCAACACTTTGAGTGAGAGAAGAACCCAAAGACTTTCCTTTAGAAGTGATTATTGATAAACAAGGCCCTTTTAGAAGTAATTTAGAAGTAACGTGCCAAGCATGCCTCTCATGGGCATCCCAAATAGACTCCTGCATCTGATAACACAGATCTCCCTCTGTTTAGGGCAGCCCTGAGCCACTGCTCACCCAGCTTAGACTGACATCACTTAGTGCTGTGGATGTGCATCGCTCACTGCAAGCACAGAGTGGGAAGGAGGGACTTTTCCTGGGGCTGGCAGTGCAGGCTGAGCCTGGGAAGCAGCTCTCAGGGGAAGCTGGTGTATTGTGTCAGGGCTCCACCTCTCCAAGGCCATGGAAAATTGCAAAAATCAGCTGCTTTGAGTGAAAAACAGATCCTATCGAGAATAAGATCTTTTCTCCTTAATTTTGATTTTCATTCATAGATATTATTTTATGAAAATGTTTTATAGAGAGACTTTTTACCTACGTTTTCAGTTCTGCATCCAGATTTTCAGAAGAAAGAATCCTGGGTAGCACAATTACTGCAGAAAATATCCTATGGGATACTCACACATTACAGGCTTTTTGTTTTTCACCACAGTGTATAACTTTTATGAAATCTTACGTTTGATGTAAAATGATAGCTTCTAGTGCAGCTTTTGAGTTCTCTATTGTTCACTGTATTTAAAAGCGCCGTTAGATGTCCCGTTCATGGTTTGGTAAAATTATACACAACTGCATTAAATGAATAGTTTGTAATTACATAAATGATAAAGTATTATGGAAAAATATGCTAATATAAAATTAGTTTATAAGATTTTATTCTGTTTTGTTTGCTAGTTAGAAGTTCAGTCCCCACCAGGTACAGTAGCTGGTTACGTTGTACAGAACTGGGACCCGTTTCTGCCTAAGTTTACAATACAGAATGAAAGTAAAGAAGATGTACTAAAAATAATTGGCCCATATGCAACTTGTGGCTGTTTTGAAGATGTTGACTTTGAGGTATGTTACTTATGAGTGTTAAGAATTTTATGGTTTTGCTGCTTTGAATGAAATTTTTAATCAAAAACCCTGTCATTCTACTCTTAAAGACATTACGTATGGTGCAATAACTTGGGAACAGAATCACAACCACGTGCACTGGAGTTCCAAACTTCTACATGCAGATTTCTGCAGATGTCTTCTGGATGGGATTGACAATTCTGCATCCATTTATCTTCATTTGTCAGGACAAAAAAAAAAAAAAATAATTTGGAAGAGCCTTTGAGATACTTAGGGTATGAAAGAGAATGAGAGACTGTTGAAAAAACTGTGAACAGTTTTCTGATGTAAACAAAGCTCTTCCTCTTAGTTACATAATCATAAGAGAACTTCTGTGTTTCTAGCCACATCAGAAGACTTCAATAGGTAATGTTCCTAATTTTGTTATTGTGTGAGGAATTTGTAATCAAGAACATATCCGTCAGTTGTAGGAGACAGCAGACCACAGCAGTGCTGCTGCTGTGACTTGGAGCATATCTGAATCTGGAAAAAAAAAAATCCTTGTGAAAGAAGAGCAAAAGTGGTGTAAACTTTCATAATTGCTTCCCCCCATTTTTCTGTCAGCTCTGAAGATTCTGATGTCTCCAAATTTGCAAGAGAGACTCTTTCTTGTATGCCATTCCTATAGGCAAATCTGACACTTGTGGAGCATTTCAACGACAAGAAGAAAAGAACAGCCTGACAACTATAGAGTACTCTGCATGTCAGGGCAGAGTCATTAATTCTGTGGAGATATAATCTGTGCGTATTTGATTTATTTACATCTAGGCTTATTCCTTTTATTTTATTTTATTTTTAAATTGGTGCAGGTAAAAGCCCTCAATGAAATGTCGACGATTGGCAAAATTTCCAAGTACTGGTCTGGATTTGTAAACAATGTCTTCACCAACACTGCCAACTTTGGGATCCAGGTCCCAGTAGATCTTGACGTGAAAATCAAGGCAGTGATGATCGGTGCATGCTTTCTCATCGTAAGTATGAAAAATCAAGAGGTAGTCAAGAACTGGACAGACTGCGACCAAAGAGGTCCTTGCTGTTGGCTGTGACCTTACAAAGGCATACAACCATTGCCTAAAAAGAGCTTGTGCTGCTTTTGACGCTAACATGTTAATATTCATGTGCAATGGTTTCAGCCGTCTAGGATTTGTACAACACAAAATATACATAAAAGGGCAAGCCTACTTAAATTATTCACTGCTCTAAAATACCAGCAACCTATATATTTTGGATTTATTAGGTTAAAAACATAACTCGTGTTACTAAAGATTTTTGGATTGTCTTCTGACATTCTTATTGCTCAGTGGCAGAATAATAGAAAATGATTGACTAATCTAATTAATTTATGTAACAAAAGCCTACAAGCACGACTTCTGATATTAATTGTTGCATTTTTGTACTTTCGTTACCATTCACTATTTGTTTACTTGTAGGACTTAATGTTCTTTGAAAACTCTCTGGATGGCTTCTAACAAGATGACAGAAACAATAAAATATGCAGAATGTGTTTCAGTAAGTAAAAATGAACATAAATTGATCTTCTTGCTTTGAAGACTTATATGTTAGATACTTTCTAATTCTTTTTCATTTTCTTCCAGAAATCTCTTGAGCTTTGGACATGATTTTGAACTGCACAAATCCTTGTTCCTTATAGGAAAAGAAAGGGAGCTAATGATGTTGTTTATTAAAATATATCTCTTGTAAATAATAATTTCCCACTTACATTTTACACGCGTTGTAGCTAAACATATACTTTTCCCACAGAGCACTGTTCCAAAGGAACAGTGCTATTCTCTTCTTTCTCTTTTGATCTTCCTGCATGGGAAATCATGAAAGATTAGACGAAGCCTTGCAGCGTCACTGATGAAAGTCTCTGTTTAAAGAACTCTTTGATGCTCTGTGAGTGCTGGTACCAGTTACTAACCACATGAGGGTGTGTTGTGAGGGATTTGGTTTAGCTTTTTCATAATTTTAGAAGTCATTTTCGGATTTGTTATTTAATTAATAGTAACAAACTGAGTTTGAAAGCAACAAATATAAAGACATCACCCAATGGGAAGTTCAACATGGTATCTATTTCAGTGAGTTGAAAGAAGGGATGTTTGCTTGCAATTTATTTTATGGCAAAGATTTATTTAATGAGCTGTGGCCAGAAATTAGGCTTCCAATAGTAGATGGGGGAACTTAAACTCCATTCAGAAAATGTGGACTTTTGCTGTCTGTATTGAAGGCAGGCAGTGTGGTTTGAGAGAGTCCCCTATGTGCACACGAATCACTTAGCTTTTGACCTATCTAATGTGAAGAATTTGTGCTCCTATCCACTCAAGAATTTCATTTAGAAGTTGTTTTTTTTTTTTTTTTTCCCGCTCTTCATAATATCTGATGGTTGATAACTTCTCAATTGGCCTTGTCTGAGGCCATCCAAGAGCAAACACCTCCTTGGAACAGAATTATCTTTTCTCTTTGGCAAGCTCAGGTATTCTCTATGGTAAAACTGTACAATAAGAGTTTTCTCTGTTAGGTAAGTTTTACGTAACTGCTCGCTCCTGCAGTCACAGTATTTCATAATACTGTTCCTAAGCATTCATGACAACACGGGCATGAATAGGGACAACCTGGGGATTAGGTCCAACCAGCACAGATTCATGAAAGGCAGGTCCTGCTTGACCAACTTGATCTCCTTCTTTGATCAGGTAACCCACCTACTGGATAAGGGAAAGAGTTTTGATGTAGTCTACCCAGGTTTTAGCAAAGCCTTTGACACTGTTTCCCACAGCACTCTCCTGCAGGAGATGGCAGCCCATAGCCTGAACAGGTGTGCTCTTCTCTGGGTAAAAAAACTGGCTGGATGGCCAGGCCCAGAAAGTGGTGGTGAATGGCATTGATTTCAGATGCTCCTCAGGAGTCAGTTTTGGGGCCAGCCCTGTTTCAAGTCTTTACTGATTATCTGGATGAGGGGATTGAATGGATCATCACTAAGTTTGCAGATGCCACTAAGTTTTGGGGAAGTGTTCATTTGCCTGAGGGTAGGAAGACCCTACAGAGGAATCTGGTAGGCTGGTTTGATGGACTGAGGCCAGCATTCATTATATACATGCAAGACATAAACAAAAACATTTTGTTGCGAAGTATTTCCTGTATAAACTTACTTATGCTTCTCTCAAAAACTTCAATGAGCTCTTCAAGAAGCAGAGAAGGACCGTAAAATACTCGTGGTAAGAACAGTTTCCAAGGGGAACACCTTACAAATCACCTGGAATGCTAGATTTTGAAACACAAACTGGTAATTCAATTCTTGTAAATAACCAAACACATCAACGGAAGGGAGAGGAGATGATGAATAATTCATAACAATGAAAAAGAGCTAAATTTATCAGGTGATTAATTCTCAACAAATATTTAGACTAATTTTAATTTAATGTTCATGGGTATGAATTCAAACACAGTAAATCCAGGAAGCTGCAACTAACGTTCCCATAGTGAAATTAACTCAGGAACGTTCATAGATTTAAACAGTATGTTTTAGATTATATACCACACTTAGGTATTTATACACATTTACATATGTCTTGAAAATAACTGCGGTTAACAAGCTCTGACAATCATCATTATTTGTTAACCGTTTCACTACCAGCTCTCGCTGTAATTCCTAGCAGCGGCTCAGGCAACGATTGGCAGAACAGGAGAACTCCGGGGAGCGCTGCTGTTTTCTTTCCCTGTGCGCTAGCAGTGGGCTTCGTGGGCAAGAAGCTCCCTCCTGTGGAAACATATGGTTTTGCAGAAGGACACAGGTGACGCCAATTTGCTTTTCTCACTAGTGTAATTCTATTGAATTCAGTCCTTTCACTCCTAAATTCCCCTAATTCAAATTGAGAAAAAGAACCAGATTCCTATTTTATTTTATCCTTTGAAATGGCTTTGCTACCTTAGACACGAGCAGCTGTTCTTGCAGCCACAGTGTTGCTTCTTACACCAAACCATGCTCTTGCACTGATGCTGTGCACAGCCAAATGCAGTGCCTGCTGAGACCAGCAGCTCCCTTGTTCTTTGCCACTTTTCACTCCCAATCTCCAGCCTTCTGATATCCCTTAACAAGCCAAAAACATCTCTGAAACAAACATGTCCAATTCACATTGAATTTAATAGAGCTGTCTTTACCTGCAGGGCCATCAATGTCCTTGTAGGTTAGCAATGTGTGCTTGCACACGTTTTCTTCTATATTGCAACCAGATGATGGAATTGTAGTTCTTGCACTTTTTTCTTGCTGTTTTTGTGTGTTAGTCTGCTTTATTCTTGGAAACAAACAAACAAACAACAACACTTGCATATGTGTATGTATGAATGCCCCATTCAAACCCAGTGGCAGCCTCTGGTATGATCCAGAACTGCCTCAGTCTCTGGACAAAGCAAAGCACGGGGACTGCGACTGCTCTTCCTACCAAGGAGAACTTCCTTGGCAGCCTGCTTGGCCTTAGTCCTACCCCTCAGTATCCTGGAAGAAATACAGTGCCAATGCCAGCACTTTTTCAACTAGAAATTCCCTACTTATAAGGGATGAGAATTCAGGCTCACCAAAGATGGAGTTTGATGTGATAGCACCAAAGAAAATTAACATTATTTAAAAAAAAAAAAAATCTGCAGCTGTACAAACTTTCTTACTAACAGCAATGTATTTCACATTTTGGGTGCTCTTTACAAAACTCACATTTCTCAGTTCCCCAGTGGCTCCGAACCCCAAAGAAGAATTCAGTACTTCCCACAGGGACAGGTACAGTCTAAAGTAGATGCACGTCCTGAACTTCTATACAGAAATACTTTTGTTCTAGTCAAAACCTTAATTCAGCCAAGTGACCAGTTTCCTGCTCCATAGCTAGCTGCTGTGTTGATCTGTGTGATATGCAGTTTTTGTGCTCAGTAGATGGCAGCAACAGTTCATTAATAGAATGGCTTTCACAGACCACAAGGTGTACTCAGGACACTGATTAAAGATCAACACACTTTTAACCTCTTATTTCTCCCTTAACTGAAGATTTTTTTTTTTCTTTGTTGCCTGATATAAAACCTTTGGTGCAAGATGCTGGCTTGTTCTTATCGCCTGCTTTTTATAGCTGGATTACAGATGACAAATATCTCATGAGGTAACATGGGCAGGAGCCAGTCTATGTCAAAGAGAGCATTTACTTTGGTCAGCCTCAAAGCTATCTTCTGCACCTGGAATATCTCTTTATCTTCCTCGGGTGGAGGGAAAAGCTCTGATTCCAGGGCACTCCCCACCTTCTGCAGAAACAAAGTACTGTGTCTAAAAGCAGCTGCTTTGTGGTTTGCTCCCTAGAAGAACAGGGACTTTCTATGGGTAAAATACCTTTGTTCCTGTCCCATAGCATCATGGTGCCTTGCAGTGTGCTGTCCTGGGGCAGAGGGTGGAAACCCCCAGTACTGCCACAACCCCAGATGACAACGATACCTGGGAAGAGAGTGGCAACACAGCATCTCTGTAAGCTCTGAGATCTTCTCGTTATCTAATATATTGGGGATATGAAAGTATGTCTCTTTGAAGATGTTGTACAATCAAAAAAAAAACAAAAGCTTTTTAATTTCCTTGTTCTATAATTAGACAAATGTGGAAATGATCCCAACACAATGTTTTCTAATTGAGGTAAGTGCTTCCTGTATTGAGAGGAAAAAAAAAAATAATTCTTCCTATTTGACTCTCTTCTTAGTTGTATTGCTTTCTTTTCAATTAGGATGATATATTCTAAGTTAGAATCATGCATATTACTTTAACTCAAAGAGCAGCTACAGGTTTTTATGTGTACTTTTCTTTCCTGAAAAGTGGCACCCTTGGTGGGGCAGGGGGAGCTGAAGCTTTAGATCCTTAGGAAAAGTTAGTCCATATTTTGTGAAAGGAGATTTGTTGTTTTTTCTGAAATGCAAGATGTTTTGTTAAATTCAATCTCTCTTAGGAATGGCATCTTCAAAAGCAAATCGCTCCCATTAGCAATTGCCATGAGACTGACTTGTTTATTTACCAGTAGTTAATTCCTTCACTCCTCTCACATGAAGCTAAGAAATCAGTTTGCAAAAGAGATGAATACTTATTTTTTGGACTGAGACAGTCCAGGCTAGATACAATTTCCTGCTTTCCTTTCCATATTTGTTAATGTTCTTTTATTAACACAATACTAACCTTTCACAAAATAAAGTTCAGATAGGCAGGTTGATGCAGGCCCAGTGATTGTACCCCGAGTACATCAATTCCTTTAACTCAAAGGATAGGAAATTTTTGGCACTTTGAAAAGAGACCTGTAGGTGACTTCCTGATTGTGCATCTCCAGAATTGCCGCTGAAAATTAAGCTAAATTCACAATTAGGTCTTGCATTCCACTCTCTTGCAAAAATGATAACAGAGACCTCTCATCCCCATTATCTTCTGTTCTCTCTTGGCAAAGGATTAGTATTTCTGTAGGAATCAGAGCCCTGTCCTCATGTATCCTGATAGCCTCAAAGTCTACTTGAAAGCTTCAGATTTGCATTGAACTCTCTATGCTATAAGTCGTGTCAACAGGGTGTGTTACCTTGGTGTGTTTCTCCACGCTGAGATACTTCAGGGACTTTTTCACTCTGTGACAACCACATCAGGTAAGTGCTCTACTTGCAGTGCAGTTGTTTTGTATTAAAAAAAAAAAAAAAGAAAAAAGACATAAGCTACCATTGCTCCATACAGAAATACTTCCTGGCCAGAAATTGCTAGATACCAGCAAGCAGAGTGAAGGAGTAACTTGAACAATTCAGACAAAAATGTAAGAGACCAGAAAAAAACTGGAAATGGGAAAGGAACTGCAGGGAACAGTGCCAGTGTAAACGGGCAGGGTGTGTCTTCTGGCATGCTTTGTTCCTAACAGTGGAGAACCTGGGGCTGACGCTGACATGAAGCATGCCAGTAAGCGTTACACCTGAAGAAAGGGTACATATGCAAGTCACAAAAGCTTTTGTAAGCTAAAATTGTTTGCTTTAGCTGCAGGAAGCAGAACTGGTGGCAGAAAGCCATTTTGCCTTGATTTTCATGTGTTTCTCAACAGAAAAGTCATCTCCTCTAACAGTTGTGTGCATGTGAGTCCTGCTCTGAAACTGGCTGGAATGCTGTTGGCATAAGAAGATGCAGTTATATGGCTAGGAGAAAGAATCAGCATACATCAGACTTGACCCCATAGTGACCTGCTTGCACAAGCAGCCTCAGCTTTCTCTGAAGCCTTTAGGTCAATTGTTCTGTCTGCCCTTGTCAGAACTGGGTTTGGCACGTTTTAGGAACAGTGTGTTTAGTTTGAGCTGTCACCACCCTGGTTAGCATTGTCCCAGTGTTATGAAAGGTGGAATGACTGGGAAGCCAGAGAAGCACTTGACGAAGATGAATAATTGTGAAACAATAGTGTAACTTCCAGGAAAGACTGAGACCATCGCAGAACAGAGCGGACATGGAGCGAAGAAGGACAAGGTGAGAATGAAATATTTATGGCAAAAGTAAAAGAATGCTTTCAACTACTTGTTAAGTCTAATTACATCCTTAAAAATTTAAGCTCAGTGGAAAAAATATGGCAGAGATTTATTACAGAACAAACATCTGCTTGGTGAAGTCATTTTTCTAGTGCACTGCTGATCTGTTCAAGCCATAATACTCTGCTCTTTTGTAGTTAAGAAATATCGCAGAGAGAAGATGATGAAGAAAGAAAAAATGTTTTAAGAAAATCATTGACGACTCGCAGCTCTATTATACTCAAGAATTGAATCAGGAACTGGATGGCAAATACAATTTATCACACCATGTATTGATCAAGTCCATCAGAAATGTGAGTAACAAATCTGACATTCTTAGTTTAAGAACTAATAGGACTAAGTTTAAATCTCCTGAAAACTGTGCTCAGGATTTCTAAAGAACAGTCCCAGAGTGAGAGAGAGGTTTCTGCTTTGATAAACAAGTGGAGAGTTGTTAGAGTTAGGGTAGTATGGTTAGGTTGTGGTTGGACTCGATGATCTTCAAGGTCTTTTCCAACCCGAGCGATTCTATGATTCTGTGATAAACAATGTCTTCATGTGTAATTACTCCACATCCAAAGTAATTAATGAGATAAGGGAGTTCACTGTACCTGATGTTGACATCTAAGTAAGACTTAATATTAAATAGAGTTTATGTTTGATGTAAATATCTGTTTTCCTTTTCCAATGTTTTCCCCTTTCTGGCCTCCTGTATCTCCTAGTTCTTGTCCTGGGTTTCCTTGAAACATTCTTAATTGACCTGTCGGTCTGCATCATAAACCTTTGCAGATCTAGTGTCTCTTTTACCTTCACAACCTCCTAATTAATCTACTTCATTAATGAAATCCTCAGTGATGCCAGAACATTCTTATCAGATGAGTCACTTATGCAAAAATGTGCATTCTGTTCTCCATCTGGCTATGTGTTCAGGTATTGCAAAATTCACACTCAGGCTGATAAGAAGTGAGTGCACAGTGTACCTCATGGCACAGCCCTAATAGCACCCTTTGTGACTCTTCCATGTTTCAGCACCTCTCTTACTGACCTATGGCACCTGATTAACTATCACATCATATAATAAAATCACTGACCAGTTTGGGTGAGAGGGATCTTAAAGCCATCTACTTACCAAACCCTGCCATAGGCTGGCTGTTCCCCCGATAGCTCAGCTGCCCGGGGCTTGAGCACCTCAAGGGAGGGTGGAGCATCTACTGCTTCTCTGGGCAGCCGTGCCAGGGCCTCACCACCTTCTAAGTAAAGAATTTCTTCTTAATATCTAAATTTCTAATCCAAACGTCCCCTGATTTATTTAACAACAGAAAAGTCAAAGTGAAGTGTTTTTTTTTTCAAAAGCTCAAATTCAAAAACAATGCTAGGATGTATAAGACTAGCTAACTGTAAATAAAAACAGGTGTGGGGCTGAGTGCTTTCAGATACTCTTTGTTGTACTGGAACAAAGTGAGGCTGGGCAGTGGAGGAGACCCATATGCAGACCCCTTCATGCCTAACACCAACCTATTCACTGCAGCCATGCAGCCTTGTGGTGTGGATGGCTGCTGTCTGCAGTGCTTTTTTCCCACGTGGCTTTCAAAAATGGAGGTAAATGCAATTCAAGGCCCCAGGCAGCCTAACAGAATTGACCAGCTGCAATTCCCTGTTCGTGCACTGGCAGGGACGCTGGGTCTGGAAGTATCTGAATGGCAGCAGGGCAGCGTGCAGGGGCACAGGCATCTTGTCAGTGCTGGGAACTCTAAGGCTGCCTACAACAGAGCCTAAACGCAAGACCTTGATGGTGAAATAAGCTTAAACACAAATGCGAGCAGCTCTAGACTGCCTGGAAAGCTGGAGTGTGCACTTTGACACACACACTGTGTGCCTGCAGGATAGGGAACAGGAGCTGGCTGGAGCTGACTTTCCTGATTTATTCTTAAGCCTGAATTACTTATGCTTTTTAGGTAAAAAATCATGCCTATGGGAACGTTGCTCATAAATACCTATTTGCCGGATAAAGAACACTTCAGCAGAAAACAGGATTTACTCAAGCTGCATTTAACATTTGTAGTATCCCAGTTAATCCTAAATGTTGCAAGCTGTAGCATAGTATTTCTTTTTGCCTAGTTGTTCTTTTCCACTCTATATCCCGGTTTCCTACTCTAAAGCAGCTTACGTCCGTTCATTTGCAATGCTGGCATTCAAAATTTTGTCTGGCTGGCAGAAGCAAAACTTCATTTAGCCTTCTCCTCAGTGTAAGAAATGGGTTTGGCAGAAAAACATTTAGTAGCAAAATCCAGTATGTTGTGTTGATTCTTTCATTGTTCTATTGTTTTTCCCCTTCTGTTCCAACATTTTGAGAAAAGATGCATGCCAACACTTGCTTGTTCACTCTGGGAATTGCTTTCCCTGTTTAAATGACCGTCCCTGTCTGCCTAAGTGGACACCTAGCAGGTCAACATGGAAGAACCAAGCAATTTAGAATTCTTATCCATACCACTCTGTTACTAGAATGTTGATTTAACAAAAAATGCAATGGTATTAAAACTATTTTCTCCATTTCCCTTCTCAAAGGAGAACCTGAAAGTCATTAGTCAGGCTGCAAGCTTGATGCTGACTTGACATTGTTAAATGAAATCAAATAAGCTAACAGTCCTGTTACCACAGCTACAAATCTTTAATACTGACTTATTGTGTCAGCTGTGTCTTCTAGTTTTGTGAATACATCTTTTATTATCTTAGTCAAGGCCCAGTTACTGAACCAAAAACAGAGCACAATTTGGGATGTGGAAGACATCGGCTCATTTCTCTGTCTGTCAGCTGTTGCTGCGAAGGAATCTGTTTGCCCCAGTTCCATACCAGAGAAATAATAATAGTAATTTATCTATTTTTCATATGCTTAGATTTAAGCTGCTTTTTGCTACATGTTCATCCCTGACACAGTGGTGGTGATCTGATGTTACTCTCGCCATGTTTCATCAACAGGGTTGAGGTCTGGATGCTACAGGATCCACCAAGGTGCCAGAGTTTAGGAGGACTGGAGGTTGAAGTGGCTGTGATATTCTAAGCACTCTGAATGCACGCAATATATCTCAAAAATGGGATCAGGAATCTACAAATAATGTTTAATTCCACTTAAACATGATAAACCTGAAGAAGGAGCGTGGTGCCTTTCTCACTTCTTTTGAAGCAATTCCAACTTCTCTCTCAAATGTTTAAGGCACTGATTAAATCTGCTCTCTGGGGCAAATAAAGAGGCACTATGTGATCTGACTGACAGCCTGTTGTGACTCCAGTGATCTCAGTTGGAGAAAACAAGCTGGGTATTGTTCTGTATGGCAGGCTGGCCATTTACTTAGTGTTGTGTAAAACATGGCATATTTCTTCTGCCCCTGCAGGTGAGTAGGTTTCTTCCAGAAAAATGTCTGAGAGAAAAAGGAAGGATATGCTGCTGTTCTCCTTGACAGGACAAAGACATCCTTATGCAGGAAACAACATTCATCCCTATGTCAAACAAGCATGTTTGTTGAAATAGAGTATTTAAATCTTTGCACGTAAGTCGAACTAGCTAACAACTTCATTCCTGTTGTAAAGAAAAAATATTATCATATACTACCATATATTTCTGATTTTCCAACTGTATGAAAATATACATATATCTGTTCCTGACAAAAATTGGTGTCCAGTATTAATTCTCTTAGTGGACTCAGTGCAGATATGCGGAATAATGACAACTCCAGATTAGATTTGTATGTAGCTGGTAGAACCACCAAAATAAAATCCCCAAATCTCTGACATGCCCATTGTCTAGATGAATTTCAAAATATGGCCAGAATAATATATATATATATATATATATATATATATATATATATTTGTTGAATATTCAGATGAAGACTTTATTTTGGGAGATAGAAAAGGGCAGCTGTAGAATATATAAGGTTACAAAGTGACCTTCGTTTACTCATTTCTCTTTTGTCTGGTAAGGATTCTAATTTGATTTGCAGTCTTGGGATTCATGCATGCACAAATTACTGCAATTAGATGTGCCTGTTTTAGATTAAGTGCTGCTTGCTTTGCAGATATATAGATGGAAAACAGCAGCCCTAGCATGGACTACAGGATCTATAGATCATCCTGAGTGCAATCACACGACATGTGCAAGACAATCAGGGAATCAAGCCCAGCCAGCATAGGGTCATGAAAGGCAGGTTGTGCTTGACCAGCCTCATCTTCTCCTATGACGAGACGACCCACCTGGTTCAGCAAGACCAAGTGCCATTCCAGCTTGAACTTTAGAATTACAAAGTATAGGAGTGCAATAACTGCCCTCCAAGCACTGCTGTTAGAACCACTCAAGATGCTCAGAGCTTTTTTTTCAGTTTTCGGGAAACTATGCACAAACTGCATCCAGGATAAGCACTAATCAAAAGCAGTTTCATTTTGTTTTCTTCCTGAGCAATGCTTCCCATAAACCAGCTGGTTTTGCCAAATAGCATTTGAAACAAGTAGCTGAACAGCCAAACCTCCTTAAAGAGCACCTGCGTTACTTCAGTTCCAGAAGTTATACCGAGGGAGCCATTACCACTTTAAATTTCGAGCCGTGCAAGGCCTTCTAGAAATACTCAGGGCTTTTTTAGTGTTCGCCCTCGCGCTCCGCCACCAGCGCCGAGCTCAGGTCAGCCGCGGGCGGGGCCGTGACGCACGCCGGGCTCCGCGCACCCGTGGCCGTGCCCCTTCCCGGCCGCGCCGGTCTCTGCTTTGCTCGGGGGCGGCGGCGCTTCCCGGCCGCACCCGCCCCGCTGGGCTAAGAGCCGCGCTGAGCGCTGCGGCAGTGCGGAGCGGTCTGTAGGTGCTGGCGGGGCGTGTGCTCGCCGCATAGGATTTCCTCCGGGTACTTCTGAAGGTATCTGTATTTTCGTCACGGGGATGCTTAATGATCAGAAGGGCCACGTTTTTCACTGGGGGATTGTGCGGTAAAATAGAGAATCTCTCTCTTCGAGGATAGCTGGCTGTTAGAAGTGGCACAGTAACTCCTTCCGAAGGTGGGCTTATGGGGAGATCTCGTTTCTGGCAGTGCTGAGGGTGCGTGGTGGTCCTGGTGGCACTGGGGGCTCGGTGGTACCCGGGTGGGACTGAGCCGGGATGCTCTGCACGATGTCCCCAGGGCTGTATGCAGGGCCCTGGGGATCAGGGAGGTCTGTGTAAGGGAGGAGGTATGTCACTGTACCAGAAAATAATTTTGTGTCACTTGCAGGTCGTTAAATTCCTTCTTGAAAAGCTATTTTGTTAATTTTGACCAAAAAAAAAAAAAACCCACAAAAAAACCCCACCTGTTTAATTAGGTAAACAGGGTTAAAGTCTAAGCAGTCAAGGTTAAAATCCAGCGTTTGAACAGTCTGAAATAGTGAGCGATAGAAAGAGGTGCTATAAAGTTAGCTGGGGTGAACTAATGCTTGCCTTATGGCTATTTGGCTCCTCAAGTCTGTTTTCTAAACCACGTGCTTTCTCAGAAAGGGCCTGTTTGGGTCTGTAAGTGGCACTGTGCATAGTGTTTGTGTCTGGGGACACGTGTTAATGTGCTCTTGGCAGCATTGTGCACAGCTGGGTTGGAGATGGAGCTGGTGGTCACGAATGGAAGCAGTGCCGCTTTTCAGATAGAAAGCAGAAGCCCTGTAGTTAAGTGAATTAAGGGGTCTTGAAAGCAGTGCATCATCGCTTCAGACGTGCATCGGGGTAAGATCTAGAAACTGAGGCTGTGTAATGCAGTTCTGAGAAGAGTAAGGGGTGGAAAAGCAGCATGGGCATTGTGCGGCCCATTGAAAGGGGTTGGTCTCAGGGCAGTGTTCCCATACTGTTCTCTAAACTGGAACTGCTTTGTTCTGACTTCCTTCAGAACAGATAATTCCACAATTTCCTTTCCAAAAGTTTTTTGCTGACCTTAGGTGCCTGGGCTCAAACTTCCCCGAGAGGGAAAAATGCAGCGCCTTGCACCTCAGTGCCACTTCTGTGGTACTTGTTAATGATTTGAGAAAATAAAGAACAGGTTGGGTGTGTTGTTGTTGTTGGTTGACAGAGTTTAAGCTGTGGATGGCCCTGAATGCAGCACGTCAGAGCAGAGGGAGAAGCCTGGGAGCTCCTGCTGTGCAGGCAGGTGGGCAGCACAGTGCTTCCGGGCATGGGCAGTGTGTGAGGCTGCTGGGCCTGGTCCCTTTCACTCCTGAAGGCACAGAGCCTGTTCCCTTCCACCTTTGCTTGGTGGCAGGGCTGGTTCTGCCTGGAAATGTCAGGTTTCCCAGTGATCCAGAAACCATTTCATGAGTGTCATTACTGGAACCTGCCAGCAAAATCACTCCTGCTTTTCTCTGAGTAAACTGAACCCTGAGAGGTCTCTCCTCTACCAGGGGAGGGTATTTATATCCCCTGTGAGCCCAGAGCTATGAAATACCATGGGAATCTCAGCCAGGAAAGGGCAGTGCTTGACCAGAACGGAAGACGTCTTCCGGGCACATGGTCCTATTCCCAGCCCTGACCCCAAATAGCTCCAATGTGGGGCAGGCCCAGAGCCCCAGCCAGGTCCTCTCCACAGGGATGTGCCATCAGCGGGGCTTTGTGGCACCCAGCATGGCATCTGAAGGATCCTTACAATCCTGGCATAACGTGGGTTGGGAAGGTTTAAAGCAACTGGTCTGCTCATTGCTACGTTTTCATCACCAGGTCGGAATTTCCCCATGCATATGAGAATGGCTGAACAATCTATTGTGTAACACAATTGAGAAAAATGAGATTTTGTTCCTTGTTCCTGTGGTACTTCAGAATTTTACATTATTTCACAATCGATGAAATCACACGGATGAAAAGCAAGGTGTGACTGGCAGTGCTGTGACATGGTAGCTGAATCACAGGTGGCAGGAGTCTGGATAAAAGCAATAGAGAAATAACATTAGTGAAAGAAATGTCAACACTAGTGTGTCTGATGAAATGGGAGGTGAATTTTGTAAAGTCTTTACTAGCTGTAGAGCTCATCTAAGTATTTCTGAATCTTCAGTCACACAGAGGAGTGTGTGAGTGGCTGTAGGGAGAGAAAATACTCTGGGCTAATATAAAGGCTTTTTATTGAATAAATCCTATGGTTCTGCCTCTGCTTGACCTTTACTAAAGGGTTCAGTTGTAATTCTTAGTACTTTTCAGAAGTTCAGGTATGCAGAACATCTCACAGTGTGAGCTGATAGATTGAAACTTGCAAAAGATCCATTTATGTAAATATTTAAATCACCTTGAATTTGTGTATTCCCACAAGCTGAAAGTTTTGTCAGTATATTTTAATATGGTCATATATTAAATGTGACACACCAGATTATCATCAGCAAGGACAAGGTTTAATTAGTAGTTTTAATGCATTATTTCAGATTTTTTCTTTTATTTTTGAAGATGCGTTTTTTTAGATTACTTTTTTTTTTTTTTTTTAAATCTATACACATACTGAACTGGAATCCAATTAAAATACATAAAGCAGCATGGTATTTCTGTTAGCAGGGTATGCTAGTAAAGAAGAAAAAGGATATAGAGAAGATCACTTTTAAAACTAATTTATTAAACAAAGAGGATGTTGTGTGTAAGCTGGGCAGTGAGCTGGAAGCCACATTGTCCCACAGCCATTCAGCATCCTCTTTAATACTAACTTTTGCTGTGAGAATGAGAAATGGGAAATACTGCTTTCAATAAAGCTGCTTTCAATAACTGCTTTCAGATTAAATTCCCAGTTTTGTATGAGCATCTTTGCTGAACTTGACTAGCTGGATGAACTGTAACAGATAAAATATATCTCTAGGTTTTGCTACATTCTTTTGCTTATTCAAGTCCTTTTGGAAGCCCTAGAACAATAGAAAAAGGCAAACAGCTGGCCCTTTTGCTGCTGGCAGTCTGCTGTGGATGCTCACTCGCATGTGCTAGCCTACCTCTTATCATATATGCAATTTTTGTCTTCATGTATAATATCTAGCAGGGCTACTTGAAAAGTGAAATTGTGTGGAGGTTTATTAGTGGCAGCTGCTTCAAGATTTTCCCAAGCAGGTTTTGTTGGACGAATGGATAACTAAACTAATTGCTCTGAAATTACTGTTATACTCGTTCATATGAATTGCACAGTGACTTTGGATAGTTGCACAATGTCATCCTGTGTTGCAGTTGAATAACCGATGCTTTCCAACGAATTGAGCATGGTTTCAGGATACACAAAGCAGGAGTGCAGCAGGCAAAGGCAATGCAGGGTTATTTTGTGGTGGCCTGGCCCAGGAGGAAGCTGAGATATTCAGTTATTTTAGCTTCTATTTGTAATTCAACAGTTCCATATAATTTAGACATTCATATATCTTTTACTGCTAATTAATAGAGAATGGTGAGTGGCCTTTCTGTGAAATTGTATATTCAAAAACCAATAAATAAATATGTTGTTTTGCAGAACGGTTACAAGCAGATCCGTAGCAATGCAAGGTGAGTAAAACACGCCAGTGTTGTCTTGTGTTATAGTAAAGATAATATTCTTTCTTAAGTATTCAGGCAGTGTTAGTTTAGATATAAATTTGCCTAATAATTTTAGGAAAGATGTCTGAATGTTTGGATTCAAATGTCAAAATTTAATAATTTACACAATGTTTTCAAATCTTGAATCATCTTGAAACACAGGCTACTTCTGCTTACATGCTGATGTTGATAAACGTTACTAAATTCATAACTCTGAAGTCAGCAGGTTAGCTGACAAATTAGCACATTACTAGCAAGAAGAACTTGGGAGAAAAGTTTTATGTAGTGGAGAAGGAGTTGTAGTTGACCAGTCTGTTCTGTACGGGAGTGCAGCCTGTCAGTTCCGGGACAATTCTTTGCATTGAAGCTTCCTGTGAATGTGAATGAACAAATGTCCCTGTGGTGCAGATGGACAGTGAGCTGATCCTGCTTGGCAGGGCTTGGCTAGGTGACCTCTGGGTGTGGCTTCCAGCTAAACAGTTCAAATCCCAGTTCTGTTATTTTGTGATATTCTTTGTGATATGCATGACAGTGCAGTAACTGTCCTTTTTAAAGCATGCTAAGAATCAGAACCCCTTTGAATTATGTCATGCTTTAATACACATATTTTCAATAGATAAAATACAAGCTCATTTTGCTGTTCAGGAAACAGCAGCTTAATTTCTGTACACCTACTCTGAAAAAGAAGGCAGTGTTGGGAACCTTTTCCCGTGTGTGAGAGGAGTACTCAAAGCGTATGTTGCATTCTTACAGCAAATAACCCAGCACCAGCACCTGGATTCTCCAATACTGGCTATGCACCAGGAAACCAGGCCCCATATGGCCACCCGCAGTATGCAGCTGGGAACTTCTACGGTAGGTTGCCTGGCTACAGATCTGCTGTTTGGTTATGAGGTGTGCATGGGAAGCAGGAGGTTCCATCAAAGCAGCCATCTCCGATTTACAATTCTGTATTAATTCTGTAATGTTTCTGTTAATATCTGTTCCTGTGGAAAGTCATACTCTTTCCTTCTCGGTGTTACATGTTTATGTGTGCTGAGCAGTCCAGCAGTGGAGGAAGTCTGCAATGCTAGCTGTTCCTCAGTGATTGCTGGGGGTGAGCTTAGTAGGGAAGTGCTACTGATGCAACACAATTAATGTGTGGCATCTTCTTGCTGATGATCAGATTATTTTTTTTAATGTTGTTTCAGTTCTTCAGTTTCTTCTTCTCTAGTAATCCAAAAGTGAAGGATTGTTTTCCTCTCAAAGTTCTGTCGTTTGCATAGATCCTATTTCTGTTTCTTTTCCTGCTGCTGTACTTTGCATGTGGTTGTACCTTCCATTTATTTCCTCTTTTTAATCTCGTTTTCTGCTCCCCATTCAGAACAGAGCACTCACAAATAGCTTATCACTCTGGCAGCAAACTGCTTTCTGAAGAGCCAGATCAGCTGAACAGTATCTAACAGGCTCCAGGCATAAATTATTTATAAAGTGCAAAGTGTTTGGCTTAAGTTTCTGTGCTGTGCGTACATTAAACCTTGTGCGTCTTTCAGCTAGGAAATCCGAGTTCTGTGAGTATGCAGCCTTCCAGGAACGAGCACGTGCTCGCTGTGCTCAGGGCCAGGGAGTGGCTGTGTTACCCGAATGCTGCATGTAACACACACTGATAGCCGTCAGCTCTGCAGGAGGGTGGGTCCTTATCTGCGGTGGGCGGTGCTGCTGTTCCGGGGCTGTACGCCGCGCCTGCATGCTGTATGGTTTATGGCCGCAGCGTCACCTTTCACGTGAACCAGTGTGTTTTATAACATAATGAGGCACTGGTGCTAAGGTTAACCACGAGGTCTATGAGGCAACATCTCTGGAACCACTTGTCTTCGGACTTTCTACGAAAGTATTCATGCTGGTTTCTCCTTGCAAGCTCCTGCGTGCTTCTGAGCAAAATACAGAACTGTGTATCTGTCTGGAGCTGTCACCAGCCTGCCGTAACGGTAAACGGGGGCAGCTCGCCCTTCCCGTTCCGCAGCTGCTGGTGACGACGTCAGAGCTCTCCCGGCACGGGGCTGCTGGCGCCACCTGGCGGCACGCCGCAGGGCTCCCTGCTGCGGAGGTGCTGCGGCCCGCTGCCGCACGGGAGGGAGTCCTTCGAACAATTGTAACCAATCTCCGTGTGAACAGTATAGTGAATACTATGCTCAAGAGAGACGCATTTGTTTATTTTATTTAGTTTTGTCTGGTGTGATCAGAGCATCCCAATCCGGCATAACTTCCTTCATGACAGTTGTAATATCCCTAACTGAAATATATTGTAGGTATGAGAATCTGCGTAGTTCAAAATAATTTATATGTTCTTTTCTTCTGAAGGTCCTCAGTTCCCTAACTGCATCTCTCCTGTCTCTTCAGGCACTCCTGCACCAGGGCCCTATGCTTATCAGGCACATCCCATGGGAAACCCACCCGGAGCTGCTGTTCCACCCATCCAGAACCAGCCTCCCGGGACCATCTGGATGCCCATCCCTCCTCCTATTCCCAACTGCCCTCCTGGACTGGAATATCTCACACAGGTACCTGCACCCTTTATCCTTCCCCAGGAAACAGGTGGTCACCTGAGAAGCAGCCTGCACCTGGGAGAAAGCAAGAAAACACATCTGTCTTTACTGCAGCTGCATGAGTTGCTGCTTTTAGGCTGCTGTGTGAGGCCTCTTGTAACGTGAGTGATGCACGTGTGAGTGTGGAAGTGCCTGTTATGGCCAGAGCACTTTGAGGGATACCCACTCCTTCTGAGTGTGATGCTGAAGGACAGTGGGCACAGAGCAATTGCATATCTTTCCCATTTCTGAAGCTACTGTTTGGGAGATGTAATGCAATTTGTCAAGATGCATTACATTTATATGTATACGTATACAGGCACCTGTAGCACAATATATGAGCTTGCTTTCTTACATGATGCTTTCTCAGTGTCTCCAGTCAAACGTAACAAACTTAGAAAATGTTCGCAGCAAAATGAAAATTGCTCCCATGTTGCAGTATATATCACAGGAAACACCCTTTGACTCTAAAAGTGTAGTTTATGTCATCACTGGAGTAAATACAAAGGCCTTATGCTGATGTTTATGGATGTGCATATTTCTCAGAAAATAAACCAATACCAAACTTGGTGTTTCCTTAGTTTCACTCAGAACTGAGCAGTAGCTGAGGTTCTGCTTTAAAATTTTTGAATTTCCTCCTAATGGTTCCTGCTTTTCTCTGTGCAGACTCCTGAGGCAGGCATCTGACATGGGGATTTCAGACTGTAGTGTTACGGAGTCACACCAAGTTGTGAAAGTAGTACGTTAGACCTGCATGCCTGTAGCCAGACCAGTCTGGTACAGCTTCCATCATCTGCTCTGGTGCTTGTAGCACTGTTCTGCTAAAATGAGAGAGAGACATGAGTCATGTCTGCAGCTTTACTGATAGATATCAATCTCTGAACAATGTATTGACATTAACACTGTATTCTGAAATGAAGCAACGTTTCTTAAAACTGGTATATCCTAGTTACAACTTGCTAACTATTTATTCTGTTTTATTTTTCAACCATGAACAGATTGACCAGATACTAATTCATCAGCAAATTGAACTTCTTGAGAGTAAGTGAAATGTTTTTATAGCAGATTGGCTTATATGATTGACTCTTGACATCTTATATTTGTTTAGCTATGAATCCTGATTGTGAGGCCTTTTTGTGGCTTTCTGAATATGAACTTAACTGTGCCCTCTGGAGCCCTTTTCTGCTTCACCATACCTTCTGCTGTTCCCTAAGAAACTTCCTGCTGTGTGGCTAGGAATGGTAATGCTTGCTCTTGCAGCAGGCACCCGTGACTGGAGGGAGGGGAACTGATGGACGTCTCCATACTCTTTCAATATCACCATGTTCGTAGTGCTTGTCCTTTTTGAACTTCTGTTGGGCTTCTCTGCTTGAGGGCCCTTCCCCACTGCTCCCTCTATCAGAGCTGCCTCTGATGGTCTCCAAATGAGGCTTTTCCAAGCAGTAGGTTAGGGTTAGCTTGGTACTTTTATTATTTGTTGTTCATGCAGATGCACCTCAGGAACTAACAGTTCTGTTACTTTTTTCAGTTTTTATTGGATTGGAATCGAACAACAAATATGAAATCAAGAATTCATTGGGACAAAGGGTGTACTTTGCAGCAGAGGACACTGATTGCTGCACAAGGAACTGCTGTGGGCCAGCACGACCTTTCACTATAAAGATTATGGACAATCTGGGTCATGAGGTGATACGGCTGGAGAGACCCCTCAGGTGTTCGTCATGTTTTTTCCCCTGCTGCTTACAGGAGGTGAGTCACTTCTCACTATGAGGGATAAGATCTTCCTTAATATTAATGAATCTCAGGTGATGATTATGGACGGAGTCTCAAATCTGAGCCTTCTCAGAGCTCTTACTGACAGATGTGTAGTAGCTGCACCCTATGAGGCCTTGACTTTCAGGATGCTTAGAATCTTTCCTTCACATACATTGATCTTTGCAGTTTAGACCCATAGCTTATATGTTCTGTAGCTCAGGAGTATGCTGTTGATTTCAGTGAAGGTTGAAGTTGCGTATTGGTTTTGGAATATGTGTTCAGCTTTCTGAAATTGTTTGCAGAAAACCTAGTGCGGCTTCATTGGAAAGCTGGGTTGTTATGGAAGAATAAGTTGTGTTCAGTTTGCATATTACTGTGTTTTTTTTTGTCTAATGAATATCTTCAAGCATAAAAAACTGCTCACGTGGGGATTTTCTTTTTCCTCTGAAGATAGAAATTCAGGCACCTCCAGGAACACCGGTAGGTTATGTTGTCCAGAATTGGCATCCCTGCTTGCCCAAGTTTACTGTTCAGGATGAGAAAAGAATGGATGTACTGAAAATTAGTGGCCCTTGTGTCGTCTGCAGCTGTTGTGAGGATGTTAATTTTGAGGTATGTAATGCTAAGAATTGTTTGTATATATCTCCTTTCAAACGGTATTTTGATAGTAGTCTGTTGCTTCTCTTATTACAATTATACTGTGGTATATACAAAATAATTAGAACGTAATCTTTTAATGCTAATATAGTCAATTCAGTTCTCTAGGTAGGTAGATCATTCTGGAAAAGCCTGGCAAACTTCCAGAAATCACATATGAAAGACACTCATCTGAGACCTGATTCCTTGTGATTGCATGCGAATCTCTTAATGGAAATTTGGAAGCAAAATCTTTTTTAATCCATGGTGTTACTCCCAAACAGGAAAAAAAAAAAAGTTATTATCAGTTGTATTAGCTGTTTATTAAGATGATTTTCCACAACCACTCATCCAATCATTTAATAGTCATTCACTAACCAAGTAAGTCATAATTTGGACCTAAAATATACACTGGAATGACAGAAGAATTACAGCTTTTATTTAAAAACAATACTGGTTAATGCAGTAGCATTTTCATACAAATTAATTAGTAGATAAACTAATTAAACTTTGTTTAAAATGATGTTGTAAATTGCTGAAGCAAGTTTAGTCTGATTTTATTTTGGGAGATTACACTTTCATAGAACTATGAACACTGTAACTTTAGGAAACAATGTTAAGAAAGGGCTAACCTCTCTTTTGGAACAAGAGAATGTTTGCTTTTCCCTTGAGCTGTTCCTGGTGCGTGGCAGGATGTACTAATTCACTCCGTTGGCTAAAAGACAACACTCCCAACACAGTGTGTGTGTACATGCATGCGTGCATGTTTGCATGCAGTAGCTGACTTGCAATACCATTAAAACATTGAATTCCAGTCAGATGTAGAATTAAGTTGATGCCTGTGTTACTTCACTCTGACTTTCTGATGGTCTGGTTTGTCTTTCAGTACCAATAGTTGCATTCAGTGACTGCATTAATTTAATAACAATTTAAAGCTTTCTTGAACAACTTCTTTTTTAATTTTCTGTTAAAACAGGTGAAGACTTTGGATGAGGCTTCTAATATTGGGAGGATTTCTAAGCAGTGGTCTGGGTTTTTGAAAGAAGCATTTACAGATACTGATAACTTTGGAATCTCATTTCCAATGGACCTTGATGTAAAAATGAAAGCTGTCATGCTCGGCGCTTGCTTCCTTATCGTAAGTCTGTAGCTTACTGATATTTGAATATGAACTGACTTCATCTCAGTGTTTAAATTGTGCTGATAAAGGTTTTGATTATAGGCTTCTCAAAGTGTTTGAGAGCTTTTGCTGGATTTCTTGTGTGTAAAGCTAACCCTGGAGGGAATATTTTGGATATTAAGCTTATTCGAGGCTACATGAAGTGCTGACTATATTAAGAAGAACTTTTCACAATCAGATTAACAAACCCTGTAAAAGACAACTCTACAGACTCATAAGCAGAGGCAAGCATGTTTATGTGGGTGGTGAGACAGAAACGTACAGAACAGCATTAGCCAGGAGGCCCAACCAATGCCAGAGCAGCTGACTGAGGTGGTGGACTGGACAGATAGGTGCTGCATCCAGCTCCTCCTGATCCTTCTTCTTGGAAATACGTGAAGCACCAAGATGAGTAGGATTAAATGCTCTGAGAGGAGTTGTTTCTGTGGGCAGAGACTTCTGTGGGGGCCAAAGTACACCTGACTTCATGCCATCGTTGTCAGCACTCTGACTCTAGCATGCTTGTGTTTCCAATTAACCTGTGCACTTCAGCATCAGGTACTGTTTCAAAAGTGCACTCTTCCTGTGTTGGTCAGGCTCCAGAAAGGGAGGAAACAGGCTTATGCAGCATCTGAGTTTGGAAAGTTCTTGCCAGCTTTTATTGCCCTGCATATGGACTAAGTTTTCCTTAACTGTGTGTTTTTAGGTGCAAGGATGTAGGTGAAGAGTAGGGAATATGAAGAAGCAAGGACTTCAGGCACAGAATACGGGTCTCCCATATGTAAAGATAGTGACCTTTATGGTAGAATCCAATTTGAGGTAAAATTGAAGGGACTTGAGTCAGGCTAAAGGAAGTTAGGATGGAAATCCTAAGTAAAGGAAGCATGCCTTCTGATAATGATAAACATCCCAGTCTTCCACCACTTTTTTCTCTTTTTGTGAATGCCTTGTTTTCAAGGTGCCTTGTTTTCTTGTTACAAGAGACTCAGGGATTAGGTTGGAGAGAGGTACTTCCAGCTGCTTCTCATCACGTAAAGTTTCTGGGGGGAATTGCTTTGAGTACCTTGCAAAAGAACCACCAACCAAGATCTAGATTTTAAAAGGATTTTTTGTTTCCTTTTTTTTGCTTTTTATTTCCTTCCTAGGATTTCATGTTTTTTGAGAGTATTGGTGACAGCCAACAGCGAGCGGGAGTGTGGCAGTGAAATCTAGAACTTTGTATTTAGAAGGAAGAAAATAAACCACCCACTTCCCAGTGGATTACAGAGCTCCAGTGAGAATGTGAGAAGTGGAAGAAGTGGACCTCTTACTCTTGTAATTATATTTCTATAAACTAAAGGCTTTATTGTCTAGCTTCTGGTTTTGTAATCTAATGACACCGTTGTATTCAAATAAGCACCTTTTGTCTGTACAGATCAATACTGTAATGTATAGAAATATATAGCAGCCTTTTTTCCAATAAATTTGGAATTGTTGTATTAAAAACTTAATTCTTAAAAAAAGAGATCTATTTCTTTGTTCAGTAATAATATAAGCAGTCAGCCTAATAAAGAGGTTCTGATCGTTTTCTATGTAACTTCTTTGGTAGTTTTGGCTTGATGTTGATATTCTGTTGTTTCCAGCTTACCAAGTAAATACATTCAAAGACAAGTAATCTAAAGAAACAGAACTATCAAAATTCGCTGTAAAAATTATAATAATCTAGTGAAGTTAGAAGTTAGAGGAGACTATTAAAAGGAAGAAGCCACTGGCTTTTGTTTCTAGTACTGTCTGAAAAGCATCTTGTCATCAATTTTATATCATGGGACCACTTTAAGAGTGAATGCAAATATAAGCAAGGTATTAGGAACATTGGGCTAACAGAACTTAACTGGGAGCCTATGTTCATTCCTCCATGTAACTCAAGATCTTGTGTGCATTGCTTTGCTTAGATGTTCAGTGTAAGGCCTGAAAACACCTTCAGTCCAAGCTGCATGCAAAATTAGACAAAAACAATCACATCTGTCTCTCAGATCAAACTATACAGGGAAAATATTTATTATAAGAAAGAAACCCTGGCTAAGCCTCACACATTTGCCAGAACTGGTGTAATAACAGGAAAGAACTACAGTCTTGATTCATTAAAGCACACAGGGACCACTGGACTAGGAACTTTCCATCAGATGGCTAACTGGGTAGTGATGGTGCTGGTTCCACAGCTCTTTTGCCTTGCAAGATGCTTCACAATAGTTTTCTGTGAGGATGAAAATATTACTTGAGAATTCATAGCTAAAGCTACCAAAGGATAACTCTCTTGTTCACCAAACAGTATGCTACCACTGTCATAATCTATTACTGTTTCCTAATGATATTTCATTGTGGAATGCTTATTCATTTATTTTTTCAAGAACTTCAAGAGACAAGTGTGTTTGTGCATTTTTGAAATAGATTGTGCTAAATGCAGAATCGATCATTCTAAAAGCAGTTTGTCTGTATTTCGAAGAACCCACAGTAGCATCCATACTTGATTAAAAAAAAAAAAACAGGCTCTAGAAATTCCCACTTTCATCTATCAGACCGCAAACAAGACAATGATTTATCCCCTATCCATATTCCAGGCTTTGGAAAACATGAGAAGTTTTTCAGCACACTGCATGTTATTCAATTCCATCTAGGTTAGAGAAAACTGTTACATAAAACCTTTACAAAGGGAGATTTGCAGATGGATTTCTTGTGTTCTGTTAATGACCTTTCCATCTGTATCATCCCTGTAAGTTTTTCATCTCCAGCTGTTCAGAAGTCGCAGTCACTTAATGAAACCCTAGGGTCTATATGTCAGAGAAAAACATAATTTATATGATGTTTCTCAGTAAAATAATGTGTAGATAGTTTGGGTTTCTCAGAAAATGAAATCATAAGAAAGAGGGAAGAAAAATCATCTACCCCTTCCGAAGCCTTAAAACAAAATTGGAGTTTTGCTACTTGATCAAAGAGAATTTTGCGAACTGGAGGAGAGGAGGGCCACTGTTTAAAGGTATAGTGTATTACAGCTTGTCTTCTAAAGGTGTTTGAACTCAGATGAGTTTTATAAAGGTGCTTCTGTAGACCCAAAGCCAGTCCATACATGCCTTACATACTTCGCCTTGGTTTTACTAGTGAGAATAACTTTTCTCAATGCTGAAAAACTGAGAATGGGAGCAGAGACTGAACAATAAAAGTTTTTTCAGGAAAGAGAAAAGCAGTTGGTTTTCCCGTCTCTTCTGAAGAAATTTAGATCATTTACTGTATTTCAGGTATAGCTTATTGGGAATGCTGGGTTGATAAAGAAAATCTTTGTTCGAGGAAACGTATTATAAAACGTCATGGCATAAATATTTGACTACTAATGGGCATTGCATGAATAAGAATGCTAATGCTGTGTGACAGAAACACATAGGAATTGATAAATGTGAATGGTGATTGGAAGATGCTGAGGAAGAAGTTTCCTGTGAGGACTCACAGGAAGGGGAGCTTGTGCAGCCAGGGCAAGGAAACAGAGACCTGCTGCGCAGAGAGTAAACTAGACCGTGAGATGAAGAAGCCAATTCAGTCAAAAAGCAATCATGTAATGGAACCTGATGTTGGAATTAGTGAGACAGGAGGTAAGAAAGATTAAACAAACATAAGCAATAAACAAAAACAAAATCTGCTGCCCTTCTGGGGTGCAGCAACGAACCTAGCCAGCAGAGAGAGGTGTTGTCTTGTATCAGGGCTGTGTAAGCTCTGTTCAAGCTTTCATGACACATGCCTATATATGCTGTGTCTATGGACCGGGTTGGATCACTCTAGGATTTGGCTGTGCTGTTCCACGTTATGCCTTTTTTACAGTCCCCCTCCTAAACTGAGCAACAGTTTAGAACCTAGACCAAGACGTCAAAAAGTTGCTTCTGAACCTTCATGCCACTTGTACATCTGCTGACTAAATGTTGTTGCATTGTAGAGAAGTTAAAAACAAGTAGGCTGAGACTTAAAGCTTCTGATGGGCCATTTGGTATAAGGCTCCTTTTGGAAAGGTATGTTACGTCATGCTTTACGCTCTCTTCTTTTTATCATCCTCTCTTTTCTTCTGTTGTTTGCTGACAGCAATATTGCAGTAACACAAAGCAAAGCTGCCTCCCAGGGGCCTCCTACCTCCCCAGCACACACAAACACTGGAGAATCTCTGGGCCAGTGGATTGGTCATCTCTATGCATTTGGTTCTGGATAGAAGGCAAGGAAAAGAAGGGAAGAAACCCCAAACCTCCACCTTTATACAAAACAAAAAATGTAAGGCGTCTTGATACTTACTTATTTTTCTGAGGACTTTTCCCAACGTTGTTTCTGTGATCATTTTGAGGAATCCTGAGTGTCATCTGCAAGTTAAAAAAGACACCTTACAGATTTTGTCCCAGAGAAACATTACCCTGTGTTCTACAAAGACATTCGACCCGCCACTTGGGGTAGGTTTGTTTCCATTGTTTTCCCGCTAGCGCTGATACAAGCAGCCCAGCGTTCAGTAGGTGGCAGTGCCGGCGTGGAAATGGCAGCTGCAAGCCTAAGGCCGGCATAGTGAGCTTCCCTCCGGTTTTCTCTGGAAGAACTGCAGATTACACTATCTCTGAAGTATGTATTCCCTGCATGTGTGTGCAAAGCGAGATATTTCCCATCAAAGCTTAAACGTCTTCAGCTGCGAATGGAATGATGTGCCACTAGGAAAATAAAAAATGCATGTGCAAGTATGTGAGAACACACTGCCAAAAACTGTGTAATGCCTTTAAAGTTGTACTAGGCTTATAGCACATGCAAGAATTTGGGTTTGGGCTGTGATTTCTGACATAATTCATAGCTTTGCAAGAAGTTATGAATGCATCATAGCAGCATGCATCAAAGGAGTCAGGCTGGTTTTTTTGCTGGTATAATGGCATTGACTTACCTTTGAGGTGAGTTTGGGCCTTAGACACCAGACATGGCCATGACAGAGGCTGAGCAGCCCCGGGGCCATGAACACTTGGGAAAGTGGACAAGAGAGAGGCAAGCCAGGCCAATGGCTGTTTTCTTTTTAGTTTATTTGTTGGTATTTAAGCTTGCTGCTAGTGTTTCTGCTGGTTTAACCTTTAGCTGACCTAGTTATTGAACCAGAGCAGCTGGAAGCAGATGAGGAAGTCAATATTTCTCCACTGATTACTGTTTATTGAGGAGCAATCAGGCCCTGCTGAGGTGAGCAGCTAGCAGGGGCAGCCGTGCTGGATGGGAGGTACATGGTACATGAAGCTGTAACATGGGGCTGTGCTATGTGTGCCCCAGATGCCATTCTGATGATGTTTTGTAGCTGATACCCTGCTCCAAAGTACAGTCCCTTTTGTGTAACTGTTAAGTTCCATCTGAATGCTGGAACTATGTGGCACAGCTGGCATTAGCACATCCTCCCAAAGTAACTGGACTTGCATGAATGTGGCTTTGATAGGATGACAGGGGATGGTTTCAAGTTGCTCCAGGAGAGTTTCAGCTTGGTTATTAGGAAAAAACTTCTCCAAAATAGTGGCCAGGCACTGGAACAGGTTCCCCAGGGAAGATATGTAGTCACCACCCCAGGTGGTGTTCAAGAAGAGGGTAGATGTGGCACTGAGGGTTAGTGGGCAGTACTGGTGATAGATGGAGGGTTGATCTAAATGATCTTAGAGGTCTTCTCCAACCTTAATGATTCTATGATTCTATGATTTCTGTTTCATTGCAGCCCATCGCATACCTGAGCTGTTGTGTGCGCTACTGAGGAGCTCAGTTCCACACCCTTTACATTTTGTTAGTGATCTTTCCCAGCCACTTGATCAGCTTGAGTGCTGTCTCCAGGTTTTGCTGTGGCTTTCCAGTCACGTGGTATGAGACAGAGCAATGCCTCACCCAGGGAGCTTTGGCAAAATGAATCCTAATTATAAAGGTGCTGTGTATGTGTGCCAGAAAACCTAGACCTTAGCAGCTAAATCCTGTTGTCTTCCATTACTGCAGGCAGTCCTGCTTTTTAACTGATGCACAACAGTGACTTCAGTATTTTTTTTTCTTTTTAAAATGCCATTGAGTATGGCTGTACAATGGAGCAAAAGGCTTTATTGTTTCAGCAAATTTCTCATTTTTCAGGAAGCAGAATGTGTGGCTCCTGGAAAATGTAGGCCATTCAATGGACTGAGGCTAACCTTGCTGGCATTTTGTGTCTGTATCCTGCTTGTTGCCAGGCTGGGTAGAAAAGAAATACAAGCAAAGTTGTTCAACACAGACAAGGGCTCACTGTGCCCCGTCCTCTCCTTCCACTGAACAAACTTTGGAAAGGCCATGAGAGGTGGTGAGCTAACATTAAAATGCACCAAGCAATAAAGCCAGCTATTGAAATGAACAAGAACTTACCTGTGTGTTGCAGCACATATTTTCCTGTTGGGCGAAAAAAAAAAAAAAAAAGTAAAAAAGAAAAGAGCAAATAGTTATTTCCATCGTAGAGAAAAGA